CACACACACACACACACACACACACACACACACACACACACACACACACACACACACACACACACACACAGGGGCCTCGTAGCCTGGTGGATAGCGCGCAGGATTCGTAATTCTGTGGCGCGGGTTCGATTCCCGCACGAGGCAGAAACAAATGGGCAAAGTTTCTTTCACCCTGAATGCCCCTGTTACCTAGCAGTAAATAGGTACCTGGGAGTTAGTCAGCTGTCACGGGCTGCTTCCTGGGGTGTGTGTGTGTGGTGTGGAAAAAAAAAAAAAAAAAAAAAAAAAAAAAAAAAAAAAAAAGTAGTTAGTAAACAGTTGATTGACAGTTGAGAGGCGGGCCGAAAGAGCAAAGCTCAACCCCCGTAAAAACACAACTAGTAAACACACACACACACTCTATTCATACTTTTAAAATTAAAGTATGTCCATGTATGTATGTAAAGTATGTATTAAAGTATGTTGTCCATAAAATTAGGTATGATAGGGAAATGGGACAGGAGTCATTGCTGTAAACAACCGATAGCTGGAAAGGCGGGATCTAAGAGTCAATGCTTGATCCTGCAAGCACAAATAGGTGAGTACACACACACACTTTGTGTGTGTGTGAATTTGGGACAGGTTCTATGTGATATCATCCTCCAGATCTTTCTCTCTATATGACTTTTGCAGGATTTCACCTCCCAGATGATACCTTGTGTTCAGCCTTCTGCTCCCTTTGCTTAATTTCATTACCTTACACTTTCCTGAGTTAAACTTTAGCAGCCATTTTCTAGACCATTCCTCCTGTTTTTCCAGGTCATCCTGTAGTCTCTGTCTGTCTTCATCTGTCTTGATTCTTCTCATAATTTTTGCAACATCAGCAAAAATTGAGAGGAATAGGTGTATACCATCAGGAAGATCGTTTGCATATATTTGAAAGAGGATGGGTCCAAGTACTGAGCCCTGTGGGACTCCGCTGGTGACATCTCGCCACTCTGATGTCTCTCCCCTCACAGTTACTCGCTGTTTCTTGTAGCTTAGATGCTCCCTTACCCACTGGAGCACCTTACCTTTTACTCCTGTTTGTTTCTTCAACTTTTTTATGGGTTACTTTGTCAAAGGCATTTTGACAGTCTAAGATAATGCAGTCAGCCCACCCTTCTCTTTCTTGCCTAATTTTTGTCGCCTGGTCATAGAATTAGACCAAGTGCACAGTTACACAGTCACCTGTGTAACTGTGTGTGTGTGTGTGCTCATGTCTGTATACTCATGTACATTTGTGTCCGTTGACTAATATATATCTCCTTAATTGTTCATAATTTAACTTTAACATTATAACTTACAGCCAATTTTCCTCTTTCTAGGTACGTGTGGTGATGCTGGTGGTTGGGATCAGGAGGCATGGCAGGAAGTGCAAAACAGCCCCATTGAAAAGCTTAGCTACACTGAACGGTGAGCAAAAACTCTTATTAACATCAAGGGCCCAATTAAGATGGTTCAACAATTCTTCAAGGAATAAGGGGCATAACTGGCCGGCCTCTCACAGTGTTAAAAAAATAAACATATCTAAAGCATACCTGAATACCTGATAGGTCTTGTGTACCCCGGTGCTTCCTGGGATCAATGTCCCCGCGGCCCGCTCAAATATTAATGTAATAGGCTGTATCATAATTAAGGAATAAGACAAAGATTGTTCCTTCCATTTGTCACTCCGTAAAGAATACAACTGTTTTGCCCAACTCGAAACGTAAGAGCAGGAGCAACCCACCTGACCTATCGAGGCCGATGCATGGGGAAAACATCTCAAAAACGTCTCAACAACGTCTCAAAAACGAATCAAAAACGTCTCAAAAAACGAATTTGTGGATTTCCTAAAAAATATCTCTACTCTAGGTGAGAGGACGCGCTGAGCCATGGAGGAGGAGGAGGTATTTACAGGTAGTTGATGGGTGCTGAGGGAAAGGGTTACTTGGGGGACGGTTTTTGACGTTTGTAGAAAATTCTTTGAAAAAGTTTAGCGGTGCGGGTAATGGCGGCGCTCCTCACCCGGGCCTCCTGGATCTGACAGCCAGATAATTGTTGTCACCTGGAAAATTGTCTACTTTGTTATTTCTCAGGTGACAATTTTTAGAAATCCAATTTCACAAATGGGAAGGAAATGATGAGGTGCGAGGGTTTAATTTTTTGGAAGTTTGGCCAGTGTGGATGTTGGGGAAGGGGGGGGGGGAGGGATGGGTGTGTGTTTTTACTATTTGTGCCTGCAGGATCGAGCTGTTAGCTCTTGGACCCCGCCTTTCTAACCGTCTCTTTTATAATGTATAATGCTCACCCTATTTGTACTCGTTTATTTATACCTGCAGGATGGAACATTAGCTCTTGGACCCCGCTTTCCAGCGGCCGGTTGTCTAATGCAGTGACCAATGTACCTGAGCTATTTCCCTTTCATTTTGAATGGCGTTTGCTTCCAAACTTGCTCCTGTAGTTCATTCCATTTCCCCACTACTCTTACGCTAAATGAAAACTTTCTAACATCTCTATGACTCATCTGAGTCTCAAGCTTCCATCCGTGTTCTCTTCTACTATAGGTGTTCATTGTGAACATTTCCTCTTTTCCCACCCTCAGCCCTCGTAAGTATTTTATACGTCTCTATCATATCTTCCCTCTCTCGTGAAGTTTCGTTCCTTCAATCTCCATACCCTATCCCTGGCAATTCTAGGACAAGTCTCGTCGCAAACTTCTGAACCTCTTCGAGTTGCCTTTTTATGTTTCTTTAGGCGGGGGACTCCATGATGGGGCTGTATACTCTAAAACTGGTCTCACGTTGGCAGCGTACAGCGATCTAAATATCTGCTTACTTAAGGTTCCTGAATGATGTTCTAACTTTTGCTAATGTAGAGTATGCTGCTGACGTTATCAGCTATCCTGATGCGAATGGAAGAAAATGCGGAATAGTGCCATAAGATTAGTGAGAATTAGAGGTGCCATAGTGACAATCAGAGAGCACTGTCAGAAGATCAGAGGTCCACAGCTGTTCAACACCCTCCCATCAAACATTAGAAATATTGCCGGAACAAAGATGGATATCTTCAAGAAGCATTTAAATAGGTTCTTGCAAAGAGAAAAATGAGAAATAGACGAATGTAAGTATTCGCAATAGCTGCTCTCCTTTAGGCATTTAGGGAGTTACGAGGATAGCATCCAGACGAACACCTCTGCTAGTAACAATGTCCAATTATAGTTAGGACAACTGACCATAATTCCATAGAAGTCATCCCCGCGGGTACATCGGCAGTCGGGAATAGAGATAAGATAATTAGGAGGTGAAGAAAGATAAGAGGACTAGATAGTGTGTAGCCACAGGAGGGGAGGGGGGTTTCGCCTGTATATATATTCTCAAAAAGAAGTCGTAGCCACCAGCAGTTACAGCCCCGCTCCTGTGCCAGGTAAGTCCACCACGGGCTCACCATAGCCCGTGCTACTTGCAACTTTTTGTTCCGAGTTGCTGAATCTAAAACAACAGCTTTACATAAAATACACGAATACATAAAAAGTTAAATTAAATGCACAAATACATAAGTGTGGGCTTTTATCTATTTATTATGTTATTGTGTATGAGAAGACATTACCGTTACTTATCGGTGTTTATCTCTAGTCTTTGCCAAACATGCTTACCACCACCCACAACAGCCAAACGAAACAGGCGCAGTAGGAGAGGTGATAGGTACAGGTGGTGTGTGTGTGTGTGGGAGGAGGGGGGGGGGTAATATCAGGTATGGTCTGGTGTGGTGTGCTTACCTAACAGTGTCTGTGACAGAGTGAGGTCTAGATCAGCTGGGCTGTGGTGGGTATGTGGGCCTGCGGGCCGCTACAAGCAACAGCCTGGTGGACCAAACACTCACAAGTCGAGCCTGGCCTCGGGCCGGGCTTGGGGAGTAGAAGAACTCCCAGAACCCCATCAACCAGGTATCAAGCAGATCTTTATATTCCACTTAACTAGCATTGTTGTACCTGTGGTGTAACACTTTAACCATTCTGGCGTTCAAATTCTTGGTCAAATCTAGTCCTAAAGTTGTGAATAGAAGTGGCTTCAACAACTACTTCTTTCAATGCATTCCACTTGTTGACCATCCGTAAAGGGAGCGACTATTTCCTTCCATTCCTTGGCTCATTTCCGTTACCTGCTTCCACCGGTGTCTTCTTGTCCTGCTTTGTCTAAAAAAGGGCTATTCTCGTCCACCTTATGTATTCCCTTCAGGATGTTGTATATTGTGATCATATCCTCTCTGTTCCTTCAATCCTCAAGGGTGGTGAGATTTAGTTCCATTAGTCTTTGTTCGTAGCTAAACCCTCTTAGCTCTGAAGACTTTGCAAATCAGTTTTATGCATCACAGTTTTGTTGCAAATCTTTGTAATTTTTCAATCTTGGTTTTATGCTTCACAAGATGCGGCTTCATTCTTGTGCTGCAGATTCTAGTATTGGTGTAACAAATGTTGTATAGATTGCCTTGAAAGAGTCCTGATTTAGGTTTCTAAATGACGTTTTCATATTTGGCAGTATCGCATTAGAGGGGCTGGTCTCAAACCTGCACACAGAAATAACACCACATGAGACCAGGAGGCATGGCAGGATGTGCAGAATACCCCTGTTGAAGAGCAGAGGTGCAACAGGTACTCTGAGAGAGAACTCTATCAACATCAGAGGCCCGAGACTGTTCAACACGCTTCCACTACACATACTGTGGGTGGAGGGGGCAGGGGGGGGGGAAGTTACTGTGGGTGGAGGGGGCCGGGAGGGGGGGAGATACTGTGGATGGAGGGGATAGGGAGGAGTTACTGCGGGTGGAAAGGGGGGGGGGGGTGATTGAGAGAGCATGGAGTTAGAAAAGGAAAGAGTTGACTGAGTTCTATGAGAAGGTTACTAAAATAAGACCGGGTAAATGAAGTCTAGGTAGCCTGTATTTTCCTAGACTGTCAAAAGGCTTTTAACACTGTTCCTCATGAAAGACCGTTGTGCAAGATGGAGAACCAGACTGGGATAACTGGGACAACACTGGACTGGGGAAGGGAGTACCTGAACGACAGAAAACAGATGTTTTCACAGTTGAGTCACAGTCAGAGAGGAGGGTTCAAGCTGGGTGGATGTAACAAGTGAGTGTCACAAGACGGTCTTGGGACCGTTCCTAATGTATAGGAGTGACCTACGAGATGGGAAGACCTCGTATATGTCAATGTTTGCAGATAACGCAGAGCTCATGAGGAATATAAAATCAGAGAATTGCAGGAAGTTACAGGAGGACCTTGACAAACTCCAGGAGTGGTCAGACAAATGGTTGTTAGAATTCAATCCAAACAAATGTAAGGTAATGAAGATGGGAAAGGTAAAAGACCAGAAGGCATGTACACCATCTTGAGGTTATCTTGAGATGATTTCGGGGCTTTTTAGTGTCCCCGCGGCCCGGTCCTCGACCAGGCCTCCACCCCCAGGAAGCAACCCGTGACAGCTGACTAACACCCAGGTACCTATTTTACTGCTAGGTAACAGGGGCATAGGGTGAAAGAAACTCTGCCCAATGTTTCTCGCCGGCGCCTGGGATCGAACCCAGGACCACAGGATCACAAGTCCAGCGTGTCCGCTCGGCCGACCGGCTCCCTCCATGAGGGAAAGACGACTACAGGAATCACATAGAGAAAGATTTGGGAGTGGATATAGTTCCAGCACTAACAGGATAACATCGCCACACACGGGATACCTTGAGGTTACCTTGTGGTGATCCAGAGATAAACGTCCCCGCGGCCCGGTCTCTGATCAGTTCTCATTGTTGCTGGACTGATCAACCAGGCTGTTGGATGCGGCTGCTCGCAGCCTGACGTATGAGTCACAGCCTGGTTGATCAGGTATCCTTTGGAGGTGTTTATCAAGTTCTCTCTTGAACACTGTGAGGGGTCGGCCAGTTATGCCCCTTATGTGTAGTGGAAGCGTGTTGAACAGTCTCGGGCCTCTGATGTTGATAGTTCTCTCTCAGAGTACCTGTTGCACCTCTGCTCTTCAACGGGGGTATTCTGTACATCCTGCCATGCCTCCTGGTCTCATGTGATGTTATTTCTGTGTGCAGGTTTGAAACCAGTCCTTATAATATTTTTCATGTGTAAATTATTATGTATCTCTCCCGCCTGTACTCAAGAGAATACAGATTTAGGCTCTTTAGTCGGTCCCAAGAGTTTAGATGTTTTACTGAGTAGATTCTAGCAGTAAAGGATCTCTGCACGATCTCCAGGTCAGCAATTTCTCCAGCTTTGAAAGGGGCTATCATTGTGCAGCAGTACTCCACTCTAGAGAGCACTAGCGTCTTGAAGAGTATCATCATTGGTATAGCGTCCCTTGTTTGGAAGGTCCTTGTTATCCAACCTGTCATTTCCCATTAAGTATAATAAATATACTGAGCGGACAGAACACCGGACGCGTGATCCTGTGGTCCCGGGTTCGATCCTGGGCGCCGGCGAAAAACAATGGGCAGAGTTTCTTTCACCCTGATGCACCTGTTACCTTGCAGTAAATAGGTACCTGGGACTTAGCTGTCACGGGCTGCTTCCTGGGGGTGGAGGCCTGGTCGAGGACCGGGCCGCGGGGACACGGAAACCCCGAAATCATCTCAAGATAACCTCAAGATAACGGAAGAAAATTAGAAGTCTTCAAGAAAACTAGACGGTTTTCTGCAAGAAGTGCAGAAAATCAAGCCAACCGGGCTGTGGTGGGTATGTGGGCCTGCGGGCCGCTCCAAGCAACAGCCTGGTGGACCAAGCTCTCACAAGTCAAGGCCGGGGGCTTGGGGAGCAGAAGAACCGTCATCCAGGTTAACGGTATTTGAATTCCATATATTTCTAGTTCTACTGTTCCTATTTTATCAAAGCGCTTGTATGCATTTTCTAGCAGCGCTTCCCAACATATTTTTGCAATGTCTTGGTTCATTTGTTCCTAGTTAATCAGTTTGTTATTATATTTAAATTTGCTGAATTCTCCTCCTCTTGGAGAGGGATTTTGAGACTGGCTGAATAGGTCTTACCTTGAGGTTATGGTAAGGTAGGATAAGGAATGGTTAGGATAAGATGTGTTGGGTTACGATATGATACATTATTATACGATAGGATACATTAGGATAGGTTATGTTAGGATAGCCTAGATTAGGAAAAGATACAATTGGATAAGATTGGGAAGGTTAGATTAAGATTGGTGAGATTAGATTAAGATAGGATAACATGCGTTAGATTGGAATAAGATAGGACAAGTTAGGTTAGTATAGGTCTGGATAGGATTGCTTAGCGTGGGTTGAGTTACCCGTGGTTATATCATCATATCAAACAGCATAGCCTAGACAAATTGTTTTTGTAAATGTATTGATATACCCTGAGCATATCAGCGACGGGCTGAGTCAGTCTTATGCTAAATGACGTCTCACTTGCAACTAGATGAATGTATATGGAAGTTATTAAGCATGTGCCCGTGTCTGTATTTCTCTCTCCGACACACTCTTTACTCTCTCTTTCTCCCTCCCTTCCCCTCTCCCTCTCTCCCTCTCTCCCTCTCTCCGTCCCTCTCGTTATCTCCCAACTTTGCCCTTCCCTGCACGATGGAAGAGATACCATCAAAGGAAGGAATATAAATATCGATGTTTACCTGTGGCTTTGAGGGGAAATTCCAGTGGGCATTGCTAGGTTATATCTGATGTAGAACAGTGTGGGCCACTCGTCCACCTTCACATGATAACAGGGGTGGGCCACCCGTCCACCTTCACATGATAACAGGGGTGGGCCACCCGTCCACCTTCACATGATAACAGGGGTGGGCCACCCGTCCACCTCCACATGATAACAGGGGTGGGCCACCCGTCCACCTCCACATGATAACAGGTGTGGGCCACCCGTCCACCTCCACATGATAACAGGGGTGGGCCACCCGTCCTCCTCCACATGATAACAGGGGTGGGCCACCCGTCCTCCTCCACATGATAACAGGGGTGGGCCACCCGTCCTCCTCCACATGATAACAGGGGTGGGCCACCCGTCCTCCTCCACATGATAACCCACAACATTGGGCCACTGTGTGCGGCTTGTTCTCAGGGTGGAGGTACCCTGGAGGTACCCTGGAGGTAATCACTTCAAAACCACTATGTAAGTAATGCTATTATCTACTCCCTATCCATTGTTAGGTTAAGGTTACATTAAGTATGGTTATGTTAATATGGTGAATTATTCTTAAAGGAAATATGGAATTCGGAATCTATTTGAGTGTCCCCTAGAATTTAATTTATAGAAAACCAAATTCTTCAGACCTTTTCCAAGAATACGAGTTAAGTATACATGTTTCATATTTTAACTAACGATTTATAATACAATAAAGTTATAACTTGAGAATGTTCTCTATTTAGGACAAAGGTTCGCTTGTTAGTTAACAAGTAGACTATTATTGAAACCGTAATAGGCTATTCAGACCATCACAAATATCTAGATAAATTTAACCAGGATGGCTGATCGGACATTAGAATCACTTTACTCTGAGAACAGCCAGCAGCATTGATGCTGGCCACATCAGTAAGAAATAATGTGGCCTTCAGCAATAAGTGATTTACAGGAAGGAAGTGACCCCATAAAAAATGGATGTGACCCCCAGAAAACAAAAAGTCACCCCCAAAATGGAAGTGACCATTAAAAACGGGAAGCTGCCCTTAAAAAAAGAAAACGGTCGGCAACCTTAAAACAACAGGAAGTGACCCGCGAAGAAACTATGTAACTCATCGGTAAATAGAAAAGTGAAGAGATGAAGAAGAGCAGAAAAGAAGGAAGAGGGAGATGAAGAATGAGGAACGGTACAGGAGTTCTGTCAAAGGTAACGTTTAGGGAGAAAATGGGATGAAGGGTAGACTTAGAGAGGAAGAAGGGGTAGAGGAGAGATGAATATAATGAGTAGATGAAAGTAGATAAGAGGTAGAGCGGCATAACTGGCCGACCCCGCACGGTGTTTAAGAGAGAGAACTTGATAAACACCTCCAAAGGATACATGATCAACCAGGCTGTGATTCATACGTCAGGCTGCGAGCAGCCGCGTCCAACAGCCTGGTTGATCAGTCCAGCAACCAGGAGGCCTGGTCGGGGACCGGACCGAGAGGCCGTTGATCCCCGGAAGCTACACAAGATTGCCACCATCCATTCATTAGTTAACCAGACAGTCGGTCACAGTAAACAGTGGGTCACAGTAAACAGTGGATCACAGTAAACTAGTGGGTTACAGTGGATCACTGTAAATAAACTTAGTCACTTTCTCTTTCAAAGTCTTCAGAGTTCGTGTTAATATCCGTTATATTATCTGCAGCTTGAATGTCATTCATAAAGAAGCTGTCTGGGTCATCAACTTTCATGTTGTTTATTGGTGTGCTAAACATAGCCTCATACTGGCTTCTTAGAACTTCACTAATTCCTTTGTTGTCCTTTGTGTACGTACCTTCCGTTGTAAGTAAAGGTCCAATACTGTTGGAAGTTTTTGATTTTGATTTTGCATATGTGAAAAAATATTTAGCTTTTTCTTTATCTCTTGTATAGCTTTCTGTTCCAATTCCATTTCCTCAGACTCGTATGATCGCTTCAACGTTTGTTCTATTTCTTTGATCTCCCTGTTTAGGTTTATTTTCCTTGCTTGTGATAGTCGTGTCTGTTTAAACTTTTCCGTTATTTTTTTCCTTCTGTACAGTAGCCTGTGTTCTCTTTCTAGAGTGGTCCTCTTTCTGCCCCTCCTCACAGGCACGTGCTTCAAGCAGACCTTGTAAGCTTCAGCTCTCAGTTGAGCTATTCCCTGTGTGGGAGTTTTGTCGCTAACACTGTTTTCCATTGAATGTTTGCAAGGTCTACATTGATTTTCTCCCAGTTGATCCTCTTATTGTTGAAATTTAATTGATTGAATACCCCTTCTCGCTTGTTGGGTCTCTTAGACCTACTACCGTTATTAATGTTAGTTTGCACTTCAATGAGCTTATGGTCTGAGTATGTAGTATCTGAGATTGTTATGTCTCTGATTAGTTCATCATTTTGAATATCAGGTCTAGCTTGTTTTCGATCCTAATTGGTTCTGTAATCTGTTCGTTGAGCTAAAATTTGTCACA